CTCGGCTGGCCTGGGAACGCCTTGGTGTTCCCCCAGATAAGCTGGAGGAGGTGGCTGGGGAGAGGGAGGTCTGGGCTTCTCTGCTTAGGCTGCTGCCCCCGCGACCCGGCCTCGAATAAAGCGGATGAAGATGGATGGAATATTATGTATAATTATAATTATAATTATAATGAGTCATCTTAAAATTCTCTTTAATACTCTTGGAATTGACAGTGAAATACATAAATTGCAAGGTATCTGGATAATACTCACCACAATACAGCATCTAAATTGAAGTCACTCTGCAGGAACACAATGAGACAGGACCAAGAACAGGAAAACATTAATTGTTACATCTTTTTGTTAACAAAGTGAGAAAAGACACTAAAAAAGTCATACCAATCAAACAACATTAAAACTGAGTATAAGTGCATCCAGGATTTGTATTTGTAATGAACTCATTTTTGGCTGCTATTACTGATCAGCCAGTGCTTCTTGGTGTAACATGTTAAGATGTAGGTCCAGTAAGAAGTGAGCAGCTTGCTATTGTGAATGGGAGAGAAGTAACATTTCCTGTCATATTTAGTTTTGATAAATTCACAGTTCATCTGTTTTCAAGAAGGAATTTTCTGTTTCTGAGAACATAATGGCTATAAAATATTTATTTACATTTGCCGCATTTGCAGTTAGAAGCCATGCAGTGTCAAATCCAGGTCTCTATCAAAAAGCTATACGCACTGTACTTAAAGAGCTGCTCTGCTCCTGTTTACTGTTTTCCACAGAAAGAGGTGGGTGTAGTGCCCATTCCAGTTTGACTTGAATCCACAGACACTGAAAGGAGTTTCTAACTAGAGGTAATCAGACATGGTTAAAAAAAGATATGTGTGTTGTTTTGGACAGAAGTCCAGGAATGTAGATTCTGTGGACATGTGAAACTAACAATTCAGAAACTTTTAGGACACGAGACCTTTAAATGTGCAGTTCAATGTTACCATATAAACTGCATATTTAAAGCTTTTTTCTCTAAAAAGAGGAGTAACTTTAACTTTTGTTACTGTGGATGATCACAAAGTCAGCCTTCTACACACATCCTTATTGTCTTTGTATGTGTGGTCGTTTTTTCTGCAGACACACTGATAAACAGAAACCAAAGAAATGTTTTTCCTTCATAATCCAAGTCAAGTGAACTGACCTTTTAAACTGTAGTTTGCAGTGTGGACTCTCCAGGTAATCATACAGCTGTTTCATCCCTGCGCCCTCCAGGTTGCATGCTATTAGATCCAGACGTTTTAGATAGGGGGGGTTGGACTTCAGAGCACTGAGCAGAGCAGCACAGCTGTTCTCTGGCAAAGTGCTGTTCTCAAATCTGAATAAAAATCATGTGAATTACAGAGTGTTATTTTACTAAATTACCTTTATCTTTTGAGAAACCAAGTAAACAGCTAATTGAGGTGCAAACTATACAGAATATTGTCAAGTGCAAACATGCAAAAACACACACACACACACACACACACACATTTGGTACTCGGCAAACCCAGTGTTTTGTGTTTTCAATGCACATGAAATTAATTAGTTAACTAATTAATTTCGTAAGTCTAATTGATTAATTAATTAGTTCCCGAGGGTCTTTCGTAAGTCAAAAATTTTCGTAACCACGCTTGCACAGCACACTTTGTAACCATATATAGTAATTTGTCTTAGTTAACACTGCAACAAGCTTTATGAATATTCACTCTCTGAAGGTATAAACCCAAGACTTGAACATGCCCCGAACACCATTGTGACACACAATAACATGACATGGGGTGGTACAACCTGACACTGACTGGACAGAAAGACACAGACTAAATACACACAGGGGGTGATCAAAATAAAATGAAACACAAAAACACTGGGTCACCCAGAACCGTGACAGGGTTTTTAGTTGTTTCACAGTCTGGTCACTGCTTAGTCAGATATTTAGTTTTGCCCCA